AAACTCTCAAATCAAAAATTACCTGGACTCATTTAACATCTTACCTCGTCATCAGTCTGGTTTCAGGAAACAACACAGCACGACTTCTTCACTGAAGGTTCTTAATGACGTTGTTGAAGCACTGGATGCTAAGGATTATTGTGCTGCACTTTACATAGACCTGTCTAAAGCTTCTGACACCGTGGACCATAACATCTTGTGTCATAAGCTCTCAGAAATTGGTATCCCAGATCACACCATTGGTTGGTTCACTGCCCCTTTTCCATTAGTACCGGTACGGCCCGACTGGGCCCGACTCAGCCCAGTTCCAAGGCTTTTCCATTAGTAACGGTATGCAGAACCTGTCCCTATTTTCAGTACCCTTGGCTCTGTGGTTCTAATCCGACCGAGTAGGTACAAAAATGTGACGTCAGAAAACAGTCCTTCACTGATTGGTTGGGGGCGGAGTCACTGGATATTCCAGAAACTTTTCAAAACATCGATCCGCCATTTGCAATTTCTCGGACCGGAGCAGTGGCTGGACCTATTTTAAAGATTTAAAACAATAATGACAACACCGTGGTCTAATGCTGATGTGCTGGCATTTTTTGTGCTTGGTGGCCGATGACAAAATTCAGAGCGAGCTGGATGAAGCTCTGCTGGTCTCCCTGGTCCTTGTCCCCAGAGCCTCAGAGCCAAGCCGGGCAGGACGTCATCTTCCCGGATCTGAGCTCTGCTGGTCACCGTGGAAGATCCTCCGTGTGCTGACTCGGGGCTCGGGCTCCAGATCCCGGCCTTGTGTGCTCAGAGCTCTGCAGGTCACCGCGAAACTGGAGCTGGTGACTCGCAGAAGGCTGTTGCCAGACCCCGGCCTCGTGTAATCATGAAGGCCGAACGCCGATCCCGTCAGACAGGTGGGACGGGTCTGGAACAGATGGTGGAAGCCATTTTTAAAAACATTTTATGTATTAAAAAAAAATTATTATTTTTTAAATACATAAAAACAAAACATTAGTTCATTTAAAGATCACTTCCACCGTCCATCCCAGACCCGTCTCAGTGGCTGCCTGTCTGCCGGGATCAAGGTTCGGCCTTCGTGATTATGCGAGGCCGGGGTCTGGCAACGGCCTTCTGCGAGTCACCAGTGGAGCTCGGAGCCGGGAAGATGACGCCTGCTTGTCCCGACTCCGAGGCTCCGGGGAGAGAACCCGGGTGAGACCAGCAGAGCTGGTCATTAAAAAAAAGAAGTATTTTTTTAACGTTGAAGATTAAAAAAATAATAAAATAAATGGTGCCGGCTTTATCATGAAATCCTGTTTTCACTTTAATGACTATCAACATTAACTCAGCAGAAAATAATAAAAAGACACAAAATTATTGGGTCTCTCAGGAATATTTCCCTCAAACATGTTTAAAGAAGAGAGACGGCCTTTAGTTCAACTTTATTTTAACCCACAAATGTTCAAATCACAAAACAAGAACTTTAAAGCAAAGCTAAAAATATATATAT